CCCCACCCCTTTCCCTCACTCCCCCTCCCTGCTCCAATCGCCCCTTCCCAGCAAGACAGACACTCCAGGGCCATCCACTTAATATCCTGCTCTTTATTCTCAGCCTGCCCCTCACTCCCTCCTCAGCCACTTCCTCAGCTGCCCCGGGGCCGCCTGGCCCGGATCCCCCTGCTGGGAGACCGCCCAGCCCAGCTCCGCCAGCGACGCCTCCACCTGCTGCAGCACGGAGAGAGACAGGCACCGGTCCCGGTAGTGGAAATTCTCCTTCCAGCTCCTCCCGGCCTGGGGAGACGGCGCGGCAAAGCCGGGCCGCGGGGAACTCACGTCTCTGGCGCTAGCGGGCGTCGCCGACCTGGGGGGCAGCGGGGTCTGGAAGGGAACAGGAGAGGCTGGGTCTTAGCAGGGTGCATCAAGGAGAAGTCTGAGAACATAAGACCGGCCGTACCGGGTCAGACCAAAGGTCCAAACTAGCCCAGTGTCCCGTCTACCGACAGTGGCCAATGCCAGGTGCCCCGGAGCGAATGAACAGAACAGGGAATCAGCAAGTGCTTTGTGGGGATTGGCGATGGGAGAGTCGGTCTGTCTTGAAAACACTCCCTGAATGGAAGCAGTTTTCCCAGCCAGTGTGTGTCAGTGAGCGTCTAGCGCGTGCTGTGCATTGTACACGTATTGCACAGGGGAGGCAGAGTGTACGTGTGTGCACACGCAGAGCTGATGGGGGGGGCAATTGTAACAGGGCCCCAAGCTCGGGGGAGCCCCCCAAACATCGGTGCACAGAAAGTGAGATGGGAAGGGACACGAAGTACCAGGGCCCAGATGTCTCGTGCCAGGCCAGTGTGTGTCCATCCACCCTTCCCTGTGCTGTCACTCACTGCACAGCCGCCGGGCCCGCAGCACCCAAAGAGCCCCCGTTTCTCCCCAGCCTCGCACCGGCTGCAGGCTCCCCCTGGCGCGGAGATCGGCTCCAGGGAGGCACCACTCCCCATCCCCATGCACCCGCGCCGTGCCTGGGAGCCCCGGATGAGAGAGCGGAAAACTGACCTCAGAGGCCAGCCATGACCTCACAAGAGGCCGACAGCGTCATAGAGGGAGGTCTCAGCCAGATCCAGAGTGATCTCATCGGATCCTCACCAGAGCCCCAAATCATCCCACCAGGATCCCAGACAGGCCCCAACTTATCCCACTGCCTCCCCAGCCAGATCCCAGGAGATCCGCATAGCTCTCATCAAGTCCCCTTGGCAGGGCCGGCTCCAGGCACCAGCTTACCAAGCAGGTGCTTGGGGCGGCCCCTCTGGAGAGGGGCGGCACATCCAGCTATTCGGCGGCAATTCGGCGGACGGTCCCTCACTCCCGCTCAGAGCGAAGGACCTCCCGCCGAATTGCCCCCGCAGATCACGATCACGGCTTTTTTTTTTTTTTTTTTTGCCTGCTTGGGGTGGCAAAAACCCTGGAGCCAGCCCTGCCCCTTGGGTCCCACCCCACCCCATTATCCCTCTCCGGGATCTCTCCTGTCTAGCTCCCAGGGCCCTGTCCCATACCCACAGAGCCAGACACCCTCCCCTTCACCCTCCATTCCTCCCCTTGCTTACTTCTGCCCCACCGCTCCTGACAATCCCCTACGGGACCCCCTAATGCTCCCCACAGCCCCGGGGCAGCCCACAGCCAGATACAGAGGCAACCCACTGGTCTGGGATGGAGGAGCCCTGGGAGAACATGATGCAGTCGCCAAAAAGGCGAATATCATTCAGAGGCTGGAACAATGTAAATCACAGGAGACGAGGGTCCAGCCCTACTTGGCTCTGAGGAGGCCTTGGATGGATACTGCATTTAAATCCGGGCCCCACGCTTTAGGAAAGATGTGGACAAATTGGAGAAATTTGAGGAAAGGAGAGCAACAAAAATGATCAAAGGTTTAGAAAACCCAACCTCTGAGGAGAGGTTAGAACAGGGATCGGCAACCTTTGGCACTGTCAGGGAAATCCGCTGATGGGCCGGGACGGTTTGTTTACGTGCAGCGGCGGCAGGTTTGGCTGATCGCTCCTCCCACTGGCCGCGGTTCGCAGTCCAGGCCAATGGGGGCTGCGGGAAGAGGCGCGGGCCGAGGGATGTGCTGGCCGCTGCTTCCCACTGACGGGCCGCGTGGCAAAGGTTGCCGATCCCTGGGTTAAACAATTGGGCCTGTTTAGCCTGGAGAAAAGGCCAAGGGGGTCAGATCTGGGAAGGGCTGCTCTAGAGAGGCTGGGGGTGAGTTGTATCCACAGCCGCTGACGGTAGGTCAAGACGTGATGGGCTTAACTGGCCGCAAGGGAGCTACACAGCGCTGCAGTGAAAGCGGGGCCAGGGCTCCAGCAATCATTGTCCATTCAGAAGTGAAGCAGCGAGCCCACAGGGGCCGGGGCTCCGCACTGCCCTGGCCCACGTTAAGGGACGAGAGGTTAGATATTAGGAAAACCCCTTTCTAATGTCAGGGGAGCGAAGCTCTGGAACCGGCTCCCAAGAGCAGTCGTGGAGGCCCAGTCCTGGGAGGTTTTTAAGAACAGGGGGCAAACACCCAGCAGGGCTGGTCTCCCCAAGGGGTGGCCGGTGTGTTCAAACAGCAGCAGCAAGAGGGGGCACCATGCTGGGAAGGGCCACAGGGGGGCAGCAGACGCTAAGGAATGAGAACAGGTCTCTGCAGCAGAGGGACAGATGCCCCAGATAGACACCTGCCCTGCAGGCCGGGCACTGGGGGCAGCCGCCCCCTGCTGAGCCCCCCGCCCTGTTTCCTGTAGCACAGCGCCCCCTAGCGCCGCCCTGGGGCCAGCCCTGCCTGCCGGGGGAGAGTACCCCCTGCTGAGCCCCCCGCCCCACTCCCTGCCCCACAGTGCCCCCTAGCGCCACCCTGGGGCCAGCCCTGCCTGCCAGGGGAGAGCGCCCCCTGCTGAGCCCCCCACCCTGTTCCCTGTAGCACAGCGCCCCCTAGAGCCCCCCTCCCTCCCCACCCATGAACCGTCCGTCCTGGAGTCCCCCCGGCCTCACACCACACACAGCCGCAGCCTGTGAACTGTATCATGGGGGGGGGTCTCTTTATTGAACTTTAGCCTTTTCTCCCAACATGGACCAAGGGGAAGACGTCTGGTGTCTCAGCCCACAGCTGCTCCCGTCCCCTTCAGCGCCTCCTGGCCTGGAGCGAGGTCTCCCTCCGCAGCTCCAGCAGCAGCAGCTCCAGCACCCAGGGGAGGTGGACCTGGGAGGCGGGGGGCTGCGCTGGCTCCCGGGGGATGATGGAGGAGAATGGCAGGGGGTCCGAGCTGGGAGGCCTCTGCCGATCCCGTCTGCTGCTTCTGCCCAAGGAGGGCCCTGAGAGGAGCACGTCCAACTGTCCGGGGACCTTCAGCAGGGGCGGCCGCGCAGCGGGGTCAGGCTGAGAGAGGAGCAAAGATTTGGGGCACATGGTTCATTTCCAGGCTGCAGAGGGGCAGGTGCCAGGCAAGGATGGGACAGGTCCCGGGGAGGGAGAGGGGATGCTCTGCTCCGAGGGGTTGGGTTCGTTCTGGGCACACCCAGGGGTGGAGGGTCAGGGCCGGTCCCTGGAGAGAAGCTGCCCGTCTCGCCCCAGGGGGAGAGCGGAGCGAGAGCTTTTCAACTAATTGGTTTTTTTTCAGTAAAAAATTGCATTTCTGGAGGGTTTGAAACTATGCACCAAATTCAAAGCGCAATTTCAGTGTGTGTGTGTGGGGGGGGGGACCCAACAAAGAGACTCCAAACCTTTCCTTCCAATGCCTTTCACGTCGATCCGAAAAGGCATTTCAACCTCAAGTGTGGCCAGGAAAGAAATTAAAAAGGGGGCAAAAGGCACCTGAAACGGCCAGATCAGAACAAGCCGCTGGAGCTGGGGGGGGAGATTATTTAAAGTCAGAAATCTTTCAGCCCACTCGACATGAACGTGGAGTTTTCGATGCAACAACCAAATGGAAAACGTTTGGTTTGGGTTCCCTCGAACCAGTTCCCTGCCAGGCACCCCGGGATTTCTCAGTTCTGCCCCCAAAGCCCTTTTACACAGCTCTGCCCCAGTGGCCTTTCAGGCAACCTCATTCCCCACCCGCCCAGATCTCCCGCCGGCCGTAAGCCTTGAGAGGCGCTGGGCCCTGACCCTGCCTGACCCTGCCTCCCGGGAGTCAACATGGCTGCCGCAAATTGCTCAAGGCTCCCCCGCCCCCATGGAGACACCCCTTGGAGATGGGCCCATCTCCACCCCCCATTGAGCTGTGGAGGGAGCAAGGTGAATCACGGCCGTGCCTCGGGGCTGGGAGACGCCCTCGGCTCTAACTCACGGCACACTTGCTCCTGGGGGAGCGGCTCAGCAGATCCTGCCCCCCCACTGCTGTCTCCTGTGCCTGGGGACTGGCAAGCGTCCTCTCGTACTTCGATGTCTTCCCAGCGGAGACCAGGCTCCCCATGGCACTGGGCCACTGTCTCCAGCCAACGCCTCGAGATGCCCTCACCCCAGAGGGCACTACTGTGACAGCGGGGGGGAGGGCTGACCTCACAAGGGGGTCCCATGGGGCTGCTGAGTGCAGGGACTGGCTGTGACAGAAGGGACTTAAAGGGGGGGCAATTGGAAGACGAGAAAGTCCCATGGTCCCCCCGCTCCAAAATTCACCCAATGCGGAAATGCAGCTGCCCCTGGGGTAGGGCACAGGGCTGTTTCAACAGGGACCCTTTGTCTGATGCACCTTAGCACCCCGTTGGGATCAGCACGAGGAGACAGGCCCCTCCTGAGCCCCCCTCCCTGCTCCTTGTGCCCCCCCCCGCACCAGGCTGGGGCACTGAGGTTAGAGCTGAGCGAGGGGAGACTGCCCCCCAGCCTGGCCCCTGCCGAGCCCCCCACCCCTGGCACTGCACAGAGTGAGGGGAGACCGCCCCCTGCTGAGCCCCCCCGGCACTGCACAGAGTGAGGGGAGACCGCCCCCTGCTGAGCCCCCCCCAGCAGCACATGTGAAGTTTTGCAGTGTGGTTTTATTAAAATAGAAACTTGGTACAAAGGGGCGGTTCCCGTACAAAGCCCCGCGGCGCGGCCCGCGGGAGAACATGGCACCGTTAGACGGACGCACCCAGTCCCAGCCAGCCCCCAGCGTGGGACGATCCCTTGGGCTTCGGTATCGCGTCCTCTCCCCGCCCAACCCGAGCCCAGGGCAGAGCTGGGACGGGGCAGCCGGCGGTGCTGTTCAGTCCCGCACAGGCTGGGGGGCTGACGGGGGCACAACAGGGGCAAAGGACCCCTGGCAGCTTGCCAGCCATGTGCATTCGAAACCGTGCGTCGCACACACACGACCACGGGGCCTCGTGCCCCAGAGGTGGCTGCAGCAGCCTAAGGCACATCAGGAGGGTCACAGAGCAGAGGGAGATTCAGATGGCTGGGGCGGGGGAGGGGGGCGGCTCTATTTCCCCCTCTTCCCCAGAGAGCCGCTCCCCTGCCCTGGGTCCGGATCATATCTAGCACCCCTAGAGGGGAAAGGCCCCCGGGTCCCAGGCCCCTGCCCCCCCCCCAACATCTCAAGGACCAGTCCTCCCCCGCCACAGGGGACAGGGATAGCCCAGGAGAGTGAGAAGCAAAGGGGAAGGGTGGAATGAATCAGCCGGGAGACGGAGGTATAAAACCCTCAATCAGCACAATCTTGATGCGTCCCCCCTTCCCCCCAACTTGCAGCCCCGAGACTTCAGTGGCAGCGAAGAATCCTAGGTGGCTGGGGAGCGGGGGGCTCTGGGGAGGCACAGGGGGATTTAGCCTGTGGCCCAGCCCCGCTGGGGAGGGGGTCTGTGCCCCCGCGTTGGGGTGGGGTCAGCCCATCAGTCCACGGAGTCGCAGATCTCCTGCACGGCCACGTTGAAGGCAGCAGGCTGGTCGGCGTAGACGTGGTGCGAGGCGCCAGCGATGGCCTGGGGAGGGAGAGAAACGGGGGGGGGGGGGGGGTCAGGAGACAGGTTTATGCCCCTCCCTCCCCTGCAGCGTGCCCCAAGGTGCAAGGCTCCCTTCCCCCCTTCCCACTCCCCCCCCCCCATCCCCTTAAGGTATGTCTACACTGCAGCCCCCCACCCCTCTGGGTCCGGTCCCCAAGTCCCTGCCCCCCTCCCTCTGGGTCCGGTCACCATGACCTGCCCCCCTCCAATTGCCCTAGGCCTCCCCACCCCTCTAGGCCTGGCCCCCAAGTCCCTGCCCTCCACCCCCGGGGGAGCCCAGCCATACCAGGTGCCGGACGTAGCTGTCGGGCCGCAGCTCCCGCACCCGGCGCCCGGTGCTGGTGTCGATCCAGGACTCGGCGCCGTAGATCAGGGTGATGGGCAGTTCCCGCGGGAGCAGGTGGATCCGCTCCAGCATGGGGCGGCGCGCCCAGCCCAGCGCCTGCGTCATCGCCTTGAACGCCGTCTCGCCACTGGGGGCGGGGGGAGGGGTGAGTGCTCCCCAGACGCCTGGGTCCCTCACCGGTCCGCATCTCCCTGCCAATACCCCACCCCCACCCCCACCGCCCGGGTCCCTCGCCCTGTCTGCGTCTCCCTCCCAATACCCCACC